AACAAGTGAATCCTTATTAATGTCACTTGTTAAATCCACTTCAATCAATGTAGATGAAGGGGAGGAGACAGGTTAAAGAAGTATTTTTAAACCTTAAAACAATTGCGACATGGATTGTGCATGTGTGCCATTCAGAGGGTGAATGGGCAAGACAAACTATTTAAATGCCTTTTGAACGGGGTATGGTAGTAGGTGCCAGGTGTCAGGAACTGCAACGCTGCTGGGTTTTTCACACTCAACAGTTTCATGTGTGTATCAAGAATGGTCCACCACCCAAAAGGATATCCAGCCAACTTGACACAACTGTGGGAAACATTGGAGTCAACATGGGCCAGCATCCCTGTGAAATGCTTTCGACACCTTGAAGAGTCTATGCCCCTACGAATTGATTTTTAGCAACAAAAAAGAAGAAGAAAAAAGACTGAAATATCACATTTACATACGTTTTCAGACCCTTTACTCAGTATTTTGTTGAAGCACCTTTGGCAGCGATTACAGCCTCAAGTATTCTTGGGTATGACGCTACAAGCTTGGGAGAGTTTCTCCCGTTCTTCTCTGCAGATCCTCTCAAGCTCTGTCAGGTTGGATGTGGAGCGTCACTGCACAGCTATTTTCAGGTCTCTCCAGAGATGTTTGATCGGATTCAAGTCCGGGCTCTGCCTGGGTCACTCAAGGACATTCAGAGACTTGTCCTGAAGCCACTCCTGCGTTGTCTTGGCTGTGTGCTTAGGGTAACTGTCCTGTTGGAAGGTGAACCTTCGCCCCAGTCTGAGAACCTGCTCCAGAGCGCTCAGGACTTCATCAAGGATCTCTCTGTACTTTGCTCCGTTCATCATCTTTCCCTGACTAGTATCCCAGTCCCTGCCACTGAAAAACATTCCCACAGCATGATGCTGCCACCACCATGCTTCACCGTAGGGATGGTGCCAGGTTTCCTGCAGAAATGTTTTGGTACCCTTCCCCAGATCTGTGCCTCAACACAATCCTGTCTCTGAGCTCTACGGACAATTCCTTCAACCTCATGGCTTGGTTTTGCGCTGACATGCACTGTCAACTGTGGGACCTTATGTAGACAGGTGTGTGTCTTTCCAAATCATGTCCAATCAATTGAATTTACCATGGGTGGACTCCAATCAAGTTGTAGAAACATCTCAAGGATGATCAATGGAAACAGGATGCACCTGAGCTCAGTACATAAAACATGTGTATATATATAGTATTTATTTATTTATTTATTTTTGTTCAGAAAACTTGGAGGGCCAAGTTTAGGGAACCCTGGTTAAACTAAAGCCACTTCCTCGTCTGCAGCTGCACTGACATAAAGAAATCTGGACAGGTTAAATTCCCCTGGTGGTCCTCCATGATATTTTGGCTTATCTTGTATTTTTGGATAAGTGATGAAGGAGAGGAAGCCATTTAGACTATTGAGATGCACCTGGTATGTCCTTTTCCAGTGCAGTCTTCACTCGTCAGTGGTTCTGTGACCTCACAAAGGCCTTGACGTGGCAGTGTTTAACTCAGGACTTGGCCAACTGTCAAGGTTTTTAAGATGGCTGCCAGGTTGGCGAGGTTGTTGTGAAGACAATCTGGGGAAGACCGACTAGCACACTAGCTAACCTTCACGATCCCTTTCATGTGGCGCTTCGGGTGATGACAAAGCTGGATGCCTCACTGATAAGTGTGTGAAATGAACCTTGGGGAGGTGGTGGTGTGTTTCTCTCCTCGGGGGCCTAGAGAGGCGGGGCGGGGCGGGGGGGGGGTTGATAATGAGAGAGAATGAGGGAAGGAGAGATGGGAAGTGGGAGAGTAGAGGAGACAGACTGGGACACTTGGCAGCAAGGGAGATCTTTTTGGGGAGACCCAAGGTTTTATTGACTCTGGGTGGCTTACTCACACACTGGACACAGCTGTCCTGTGTCTCTCCACACTGGTAACTCAGGATGGAGGCGAGGGGGGAGGGCAAGGGGGGATAGCCGAGCAGGCGAGATAAATAATGGGTCTTTAGGCCTCAGAAGTCCAGCTTGTTGAAGTCCCCCCATGGTGCACATTTTGCCGTTTGCCCTAGTACTACACAGCTGATTCAAATAATCTAGGTTGATGATGAGTTGGTTATTTGAATCAGCTGTGTAGTGCTAGGGCAAAAACCAAAACATGCACCCAGGGGGGTCCCCAGGACCGAGTTTGGGGCACTGTGGTCAACAGCATGAAACAAGACCTAGTGGGAAAAGGCTCTTTCCATGCCAGCTCTAGCTTTCAGTGATTTACTAAGTGCTTAAACTAAGAGAGAGGGGAAGTTTTGCGAAATTTGCTGGACACTTGAATTATGTGACTCTCTGATTTACCCTGTTTTGTTTAAGGCCCAGAAATGTATTGGCAAGATTTAACCTAGCACTCACAGAGGTCATGCCCCGCCATGAATTTGATGAGATTGGAATGTAAAATCCACAAACGGCGAATCCATGAAAGGCAAAAGACGGTAACCCGCTAGCCTGAGAAGTGTTTGATTTCACCGCTGTATGAACAGTAGATTAATCTCAGATCATCTTCAACCTTCATCTCCCCCACAGACAGTATACCATGTGCTCTGTCTACTGTGTAAGCTCACATAATACACATTAAACCCTATAGCCAACCACACACTGCATCACAAATATGTCCTACCTTACAAATGTATCCCAACTCATAACTAACTGTTCCCTGTTTCATAAATGTATCATACTTACAGTACTTCGGTCTCACAAAAAATAAGAGGTTTTAAATTTAACCTAAAGAGAGTTTCTGGTCAAAAAAACGTTATCCTCAACTTCACTACTGCTCCTCATTATGTATTAACATCTACCATACTACCACATGCTATCTACTTCACAACTGAGGGCTACTCCACGGTACCATGTCCATACTGTTGACCTACATTAAACAGGGTAGCCTAGCCAGTGTGTGATAAGTTATCACTAGGTCACACTCCGGTCGTCGCTAATGGAAAGGGCTCGTCAATATCCCATTAGCCAGCTGGCTGTCCTACAGGTTCATGGGCAAACGACAAGCGGCTGTTATGGCCCCCAATAAAAGCTGACCTGGATAAGGAAGCTGGGGAAATACCGTGGTGCCAACGCACGTCATATCTAATGGCCTGTGGAGAGGCCCAGCGAGAGAGATTAGTCTATATGGTAATATTTGTCTTATAAAGGATGTATGAATAGAGCAGTGTGTAGTGTGTGTGTGCTGGACTTCACACTTTGGTTGGTTGTAGACTAGCCACACGTGAAGCAGAACGTTGTGGTAAGGTTGTAGTTAGGTTATAATAAGGTTGTAATAAATTACTTATCGCGCGTGTGTGTGTGTGTGTGTGTGTGTTAAAACTGCAGACGTTGCCCATGTTTCGTAGCAAGTGAGTCATGCACAAGACAGGTCGCGGTAGACAATTGCATGTGCGTGAATGGATTTAGAATTTTGGAATATTGATAAGTGGCAGTTGGGACATCAAGTGCGTCTAAATGCTCATTTTGGCTAAAACACTTGCAGACTCGAGTGATCGCTATTGAGCACAACAGCAAGTAGCCAGTTGATAAAGGGCTTAGGGGCCAAGTGTTCGGTTTGAGATTCAGCCTATGACTGAGGTAGATAGAACTTATTGGAAAACCGATTTTAAAAAATGGCTGTTTTAACATTAAACATTTTCCATTTGTCATGTCCTTAATATCCAGGTGACTTCATGCTGGTGGTCCATCCCTGGTCCGTGTGCTGGACTTGACTGTACGGTCACCTCACTGGCTTTGCATTGCGTGAGCTAAAACCCTGCTCCTTCTCCACCGCTGGCTCTGTTAGTCCTACTCTGCCAGGGAAAGATCCCTTGGAGGAAAACCAGTCACATCTATAATTCACACACTTCTGTGTAATATCAAATCCACCTTCCTCTTATGTAACGTTAGATGGATATAGCCTATTTGGTCACTTTAATGCTCTGAGAATTTCAACAGAAGGGTAACAGAGCTAGTGAGGTTTTCGGGCTGCTCTGATTGCTGCAGAAGGTCAACGTTTGTGCGCGAGATCAAATAAGGATCTTGTAGGGCTGTTGATGGTTGAAGTGGAAAACACGAGCACGGCTGATTTCTAATGATGTTTTCATAACAAACACAGACCTGCTTCACAGATAGCTGAGGAGTTTTCTAGGAGAAAATAAATAATCGCTTCAGCAGTATTTGACATTGGGATCTGAAGCCGTGTGTGGGAAGGAAGGACAGTGCAGTGGTAAGACGGTGACAGGGAGGGAAATGGTAAGGTAGCCTTGATACTGAAAGAAAAGGAGAGAAGAAGGGTGAAGGAAGAACAGGGGATCCAGTTTTACTTCCATTATTATTGAGTCATCCAGAAAGTCTACCTCTTTTCATTCCTCTGCTTTCTTTAATTCTTCCTTTACATTTCTTCTCTTCTCCCTTCATTTCTTTTCAAATATGTTTTTGTTTTCTTTCTGCGTTCCCTCATCTGTCTCAGTCCCTTTGCCTCAAAATCTCAAAAACATCGCTTTCCTTTAGTAAATCCAAATGCAGCTGGCAAAACAGGACAACACACAGCAGCCCATTAAATAGTCATGTGTGGCCCCAGAGTGACTCATCTAATGTAGGGGACGTGCCTCATACATAGCCACTGGTCTACTGTGTAATCCACTGGCATAGCCTTCAATAGAACACAACAGCTATTCTGGTGGGCCTTGAAGTCATGGTTCATCATCCATTTAGCGGTAAGAGAGCCAGAAGAACAGACATGCAGGTTCCCCATACTGCGACCGCAACTAAATGTTTTGGAAGCGGTCGTGGAAATGTTAGTCATAACGGAGGCTGAGTCTGTTGTTGTGCGTTCGTGCCGAAGGGTTTTGTGTATATATGGTTGTGATTGTTGGGTTGAAGAGAAGGCACGGTAGAGACAGAGGAGCACACACACACAGAGAGAGAGGGACAAGTTTCCCTGAGGCTAATTGAGTCTACTATCCAGAAGACAAGGCAATGCTACTTCATGGAAGTGCGTGAACACACACACACACGCGCACATACACACTCTCAAGTATGATAATAATGTTGGAGGTTATGGAGGAGTGGAGGTTCTCATCTGTTAAGGTGAAGTTGGCAGAGGTGCCTGTATGAGCTAGTAGTCTAGTCATGTAGTCTGAGTGTGTGGGTCAGTCAAGGAATCATTGACCCCATTCTTATCTATGAAAGCAGTTATTAAACAGGTGTTCTGGTCCCCTTGCATACCATTGGTATTGACAGAGGACGTCATTGTTCCATATCTGACCAGGTGAGCTCAGTCCCAAGAAAGGTGTGGTTTTCTCTCTCTATACAGTGAATGACCTGTAAATGAGTGTCTTCATACTGCAACTGAACTCTATACAGTAAATGAACTATTCTATAGGGTTCTAATGTATTCAGAACGTCTCAAACCTGCAAACACCAACCAATTGTATGGAAAGAACTTGGCGTAAGGGCCACAGATGGGTGGGATAGATGGTGTCTGTTGCAGTATCAGTTAAATTATTTCCACTACAGTTTCGCTTTTTTTTCATAGTCATTGTCCTTTTGAAGTGCTTGAATCCTCGACAATTTGAATCTTCTGTGTGTGTGTGTGTGTGTGTGTGTGTGTGTGTGTGTGTGTGTGGCCACCGAGTTGGAACATGCAGGTGCAGGGAGAGCGGGACTCGCAAGCCACTGCATGCTCGCCTAAAAAGCAGATTGTTCAGAATTTGCTAAAAAGCTCGTTATCAGCACATCTTGCATAATGGCGGAGGCTTATTCTCGTGGGCTACGTAAATAGTGGTGCTTTCACCTCACATTCCCTCTGGCAACTGATGCACGATGGTCATGTTGGTCCATTACAACGTTGGTGATTTACCACTTTGTTCCTTTGTGAACTTCCTCACAACCCACATTACTAACCTATCTCTCTTTCTTTCCATCCCTCTATCCACCCACATGTACCTCACTCTCTCTCTCTTTCTTGATCCATTTCTCTCTCTCCCTCTCAAACACTTTTCCTTAACTCTCTCTTTTCTCTGTCTTTATACATCCCTTCCTCTCTCTCTCTTCCCTTCGCTCTTCCTCTCTCTTCCTTTCGCTCTTCCCCTCTCCCCCTCCCCTCCCTCTCCCTTCCCCTCTCTCTTCCCCTCTCTCTTCCCCTCTCTCTTCCCCTCTCCCTTCCCCTCTCTCTTCCCCTCTCCCTTCCCCTCTCCCTTCCCCTCTCCCTTCCCCTCTCTCTTCCCCTCTCTCTTCCCCTCTCCCTTCCCCTCTCTCTTCCCCTCTCCCCTCCCCTCTCTCTTCCCGTCTCTCTTCCCGTCTCTCTTCCTTTCCAGGTAAGATGCCTACTACTGATCCAGGTGCTGGAGGGGACTACGTCGTGCCCACCCCAGGCCCCGCCTTCAAGGAGGTGTGGCAGGTCAAGGTGTGGCCTAAAGGGCTGGGCCAGGCCAAGAACCTGGTGGGTGTCTACCGGCTGTGCCTGACCGACAAGACGGTCAACTTCGTCAAGCTCAACTCGGACGCGGCCGCCGTGGTCCTGCAGTTGATGAACGTGCGGCGCTGCGGTCACTCCGAGAACTTCTTCTTCGTGGAGGTCGGTCGCTCTGCGGTCACGGGCCCCGGAGAGTTCTGGATGCAGGTGAGATGAAATGTCACACAAGCCCAGTCTCTGAGGTTACAGCTGTGAATGGCTATGGTGTTTTGATTGTCAAGCAGTGTATTCCTCCTGATGCATGACCATTTGATGTTGGCTAAACTCAAAGGAAAGGTTACAGTAGAGAATTTGTTATGGATTTGGTTAAGGTTAAAGCATGGGTGCCCAATTACATTCAGCCGTGGGCAGATTTTTCATTGAGCGGATGGTCGGGGGGCCGGAAATAATTTTTTGCTCAGAAAACTTGGGGGGGGGGGGGGGGTTAAGATTATGGATTAGAGGATAGAACATGTGATCGACATGTGGTTGTAAGCCCATAGAGTATGACTGTGTTCTGCCTCATGCAGGTGGATGACTCAGTGGTGGCCCAGAACATGCATGAGACCCTACTGGAAGCCATGAAAGCCCTGAGTGAGGAGTTCCGCCAACGCAGCAAGTCGCAGTCCAACTCTGGGCCAGGTGGGGGAGCCACCGCCTCCAACCCCATCAGTGTCCCCTCGCGACGCCACCACCCCAACCCGCCCCCCAGCCAGGTGGGCTTCACCCGCAGGCCTCGCACCGAGCCGCCCGGAGGGTCTCGAACTGGCGGCAACAGCGCCAACGCATCGCCCACCCCCCGCCACAGCTTCCCCAGGTCAGGCACTGGGAGCGACGGGGGTAAAGGAGAAGAAGGTGTGGGGGGAGCGTATGGAGGTGTAGGTCAGAGTTCCAGTCCTACCACCAACGGGTCCTGCTCCACCACGCCCATCCTCAGGTCCAAGTTGGCTCGCTCTGCCTCCACCCCGACCAAGAACAACTCCCTGGGCCTGATGCGCTCCATCTCCACCCCAGCCCCCTCCCCGGCCCCCAGCCTGTCCTCCAGCTCCGGCCACGGCTCCGAGTTTGGGGTAGTGGTGGGTGCAACCGGAGGAGGGGGAGGAGCAGCAGGGGCCGGTGCCTACAGCCACCTTCCCTCCCACAACGTTTCCGTGTCGGGCTCCCCCAGCGACTACGGCTCCTCGGACGAGTACGGCTCCAGCCCTGGGGAGCACTCCGCCCCCTCCCCCAACATGCTTGGAGGGTCAGCCAGGTCAGGCCATGATCAATCCCTGAACGACGAGGCTGCTAACTACATCCTAATGGGCCAGCGTGGTGGTGGTGGAGCCCCAACATCCGGCACTCTGCCTGTTGGAGCATCCAGCTCAGCCCCTTCCCACCAGCCCCAGACCAAGAGGGTCCTGCGGCGCTCCTCTAGCCGGGAATGTGAAGCCGAGAGGCGGCTGCTGAGCAAGCGAGCGTCCCTGCCGCCCATGGCCCTGGAGCGCCTGGCCCCGCGACCACACAGGGAGGAGGAGCAGGATGAAGACGCAGCGGACTACGCCATCATGTCCCACAGCACCAGCGGCGATTCCTTCACCACTTGCATCTCCTCACAGAGAGACTCTGAGATGAGCCCCGGTGGAGGGGGGGGGGGAGGGGGATACCTGGACGTGGCTGTAGAGTTGGTTGGTGGTGGAGGTGGGGGTGGAGGTATAGTGCGGGATAATGGCTACATGTCCATGCTACCAGGAGGAGTGACCCAACCTCCAGTCTCCCTCACCCACTCGCTTTCAGTCTCCGTCGCCGACTTGGAGTCCAAGCCGGCAGATGACTACATGGCCATGACGCCGAACAACAGTGTGTCCCCCCCGCAGCAGATCCGGCCCCCTCCCGGCTCCGGCGACGGCTACATGATGATGTCACCCAACAGCAGCTGCTCTCCGGACCAGCGGGGCTGCCTAGGAGGCGTGGCCTGGGTGGACAGCAGCAGCACCGACAGCCGGGCGGGCAGCGACTACATGAACATGTCCCCCATCAGCACCCGCTCGGCCAACAGCAGCCCCCCTCCCCCCGAGCAACCCCCTCAGGCAGACCACCACACCCCGCAGAAGGCCCCCAAGATGGTCTACTCCTACTACTCTCTGCCCCGCTCCTACAAACACACGCCACCTGGTGGACACTTTGAGGACGGTCCCGGCCGAGGCAGGAGGCCCAATGGGGGCGGTGATGGTAGAGGAGTTGGCAGGGCGGTGGTGGTTCGTCAGGACCCCAATTTGGGTGCGGTCCAAGGTCGCCACCTGTCCCTCTCCTCGTCCTCATACTCCTCCAGCTCAGCCAGCAGCGAGAGCCTAGGGGAGAACGAGGACAGGGCTCTCCAGGGAGCAGGCTCCTCAGGTGGGGGAGCTCACTCTAAAGACATGGGGCTCCTCCAGCAGAGACGAGCGGCCCCCAAGCAGGGCCAGCAGGGGGGACACAGGACCCGGCCTGTCAGCCTGTTTGTGGACGTGTCCAAAGCCAACACCCTCCCCAGGGTCCGTGAGAACCCCCTCCCCCTGGAGCCCAAGAGCCCAGGGGAGTACGTCAGCATCGAATTCAAGGGGGACAAAAGCACTAGAGGAGGGCCAGGAGGTGGGGGAGGGAGAGGACTCAGACACGGGATGTCCCTGCCTCACGGCTCCAGCCAGTGCCCCTCACACCGGCCCGCCTCTTGCCTGGGGGGGTTCCTGCCCCTCTCCCGAAGCCCCTCCACCCCCCAGACCCCCCTCACGCCCCTCACCCCTCCATCCGCCTCAGAGTATGTTAACATGGACCTGCGGCCCTCACCGTCCCCCTCTCCCCTCTCCCTCACACCACTGGGCTTCCCCTCCTTCCCCACCCCTCCCACGCCCCCTCCCATGACCCTGGCCCCCAAGGCCCGCGACGGGGCTGAAGCGGGGCCCAGGACAAACAGACAGACTACTCCTGTAGTGGTCACTCAATCAGAGTCCCCTACCTCCTGCGGGGACTATACAGAGATGGCCTTCAGCCTGAACAACAACACCGTCCCCAGCGCCACGTCCAACAACAACTTCCCCAAAGCCCCCTCCCCAGCCAGGCCCTATCCCTCAGTCCCTGTTGTCACCCTGGGCCTGGACTTCCCCCTGCCTAAACCTGGGCCCAACCCTGACCACGGCGCTAAAGTGATCCGGGCCGACCCCCAGGGCCGCAGGCGCCACTGCTCCGAAACCTTCCTCGCCTCTCCCTCTCTCCCTCCCCCCTCCTCCTCCTCTTCCTCCTCCAACTCCTCCTCTGCCGCCTCTCTCTTCCCGGAGCACACCCAGGCCGTGGCTCGCCGGCTGGGGTTCGAGGGCATGCTGTGGGGGAACGGAGCGTCGGCCGAGCATCTCCCCTCGCAGTTCCTCCACCCTGGGCCTGGCCTACCCGCTGCCCAGGCTTTGTCCGTGGAGCAAGGTCTCAACTACATAGACTTGAACTTGGTCAACAAAGAGAGCCCTCATTCAGCCTTAGACGGGTCCTCAACCGTCCAGGCTATCCCCACTCGCCTCTACTCGTCCGTGCTGAATGGGGTGTCCGGAGCAGGCGTCGGGGGCAGTGGAGGCTCCAACCTCAACACCTATGCCAGCATTGACTTCTACAAGTCAGAGGAGCTGCGGACGCAACAGAACGGAAACAAAGACGGTACAGGTGAGAGTTCATTTCTACTCCTTTGGCCATATTTGGGGGGAAGTCTAAATGTCCTCTCTCTGTGATGTTTTGTGTGCAGCTTTGGTTGCTCTCCTGCTCTTCTTCCTATTCCACCCCTCTTTCTCACCCTGTCTCTCTCTTGCTCTCCCCCTCTCTCTCTCTCCCCCCTCTCTCTTTTCTGTCTCTCCCCCCCTCCATTCCTGTCTCCTGCTGCCACTGTCTACATTTTTCAGATGAAACGGTGGCATTTTAGATTTTGTCCATCTATGCTTAAATGCAGGCGCCGGATTACCCAGCAGTCACCACACACTGTCTATTTACGCCTAAATTAGAAGAGATATGGTGAGTCTGCTATCTTTAGCTAAGTACATATGGTTTTTATCTTAGTCTGTTTTGTCTAAAGGGCAGGCCTTTTTATTTATTTTTAATTCAATCTTTATTTGTAGCGATGAAAATGAAAATGTGCTTATATCTTTTTTCATAGAGTCTCAAACTGAACATTCTATTGACACTCATCACATATTCATGCACGTTTATTAACAGGAAATGGCTTCAAAATAGAAATTTGGAAAAAAGTAAATAGTTGGACTCATACTCAATATCACCAGCTGAACTCCTATCCTAGCCTTGCAATTAGCTCAATTTCTGACAAGCATGTTCTCTGAGGAGAAGACAAACGTTCGCAATGAGAGAAGCCACTGTCCTCCCTGACTTAGCCAGAATTGGCTCATTAGAGAAGTCTGTCTGCTGTTTAAATAGATAGACCCCAGTTAAACCCTGAGTGGGGATTTATAAGCCAGTATTAACTAGTGAAGTGTTAAGTCGCGCTAGGCTACCTAGACTTCAAACAGTGGGCCTTTATGGAGAACGTTAGCACCATTAGCTAGCCTCCACAGTTGGCCTTTATGGAGAATTCAGCACCGTTAGCTAGCCTCCACAGTGGGTCTTTTTAGAGGATTTTAGCGTTAGTGGTAGCCCACCACAGTGGGTCCTTATGGGAAATCTCTGGCTGTGCGCGTTAGCATGGTCGCGTCAGCAAGGCAGTGTGGGGGCAGAATGTTACACGATGGCTGGGAATGTTGAGAGGGGGCCAGCGTTTCACTAATGCACACTGCTCCCAAATCAAATGCCTCTGTACAGTGTCCCCTCCTCCCTTCATCCCTCCAGTCCATTCCGTCTCCCCCTTTTTCTTCCTCCAATAAATGATCCTTTTGTCCGGGTGTTTCTGCCGCAGTGGATTGCCAGTTACCTTCAGCTAGGCCAGGCTGGACTGAACTGAGCTCCTCTCCTCTCCCCCTGAAAGTGTTCTATCTCTCACTCTCTCTCTCTCTCTCTCTCTCTCTCGCTCTCTCTCTTACACTCTCTCCTGTCTCTCTCTCCTCTTTCAATCTTCTTTTTCACTCATTCATCCTTTATCCTCGTTCTACTCTTCTCCCTCTTCTCCCCCCTTCTTTCTCTCCTCTTCTCCCTCTCCTCCCCCTCTTTCTCTCCTCTTCTCCCTCTCCTCCCCCTCTTTCTCTCCTCTTCTCCCTCTTCTCCCTCTCTTCCTCTCCTCTTCTCCCTCTCTTTCTCTCCTCTTCTCCCTCTCCTCCCCCTCTTTCTCTCCTCTCACTGTCTCTTTCTTTTGCATCTTTCCCCTCCCTCTGTTTTCACATTGTGTCTCGCTCCATCCTAGAACGATGAGAGAAGGCAGATAAAAATCTATTTTGGGAAGTCCCCCTCTTATTGAGAAGAGAGGAAAGCAACTAGGATAGAGAGAATTAATAAAAGAGAGAGATAGAATGAGAGACGGTGTGAATGTAGTGTGAAGTACCCAAAAGTACAGATTGATCCGTGGATTACGGCGCGGTTTGGACGCAATTAATCGTTTCGTCTGTGCATTTATTTAGGCCTAAAAGTGTTTGGTCAACTAACTCCATGGTAATTGTGGGGATTTTTTTCTGGCAGGCTCCCCAGTGTGTGTGTGCGTGCGTGCGTGCGTGCGTGCGGTATGTATGCTCGTAGTATAGCCTCAAGGGGTCATTAAGTCCATGGGGGCACTTCCCAAACTTTAACAGCACATGACTGCAAATTGACACTAGAAAATGCAGGAGACCCCACTTTGAAAAATGATATTCCCTAGTTAACGCTGGGAATATTCATTCTATTTTAGTTTCCGCAGTCTGTGTCGCAACACATAATAACATGAATCTGCATCCTAATAGTAGTTGACACTAAAAAGTTGTATTCTATAACCATTTGAAGAGAAAAAATATTAATTTGTTAAGATTACAGATTTTCTCAGGGAACCCCATTTCAACTTTCGGTGACCCCACAAGGGGTCCCGACCCCAGATTTGGGAACCACTGACCTAGAGTGTGACCATTTTATGTGTTGGTTAATGGGAGCTCATACTGTAAATGATTTAGATGACAACTGCACTGTGAACACGTGTCCCTTCCTGAAGCAAACAACCGTGGGGTACCACCTCACATCTGTGTGTTTCAGCTACAGTACCTGGAGAAAGGTTCTTTCAAACTGAGTGGGATGGATGCGATGAGTGCATGTGTTTTTTCTCCTGATAAGTCTGATGATGGAAATCAAATCACCCTGTAGGCCATGCCAACATGTTCCAGGAAGACCTGACTATTAGCCTTCTCCTCACCATGCCGCTACCTGCCCCTCTATCCTCGCTCATTTGATATAAACTACCAATGCTAAACCGACACCTAGCCTCTACCCCGGGCCCCTACCCCCTACCCTCTGTGAGTTGCACTCAACCACTGACACAGGATCCGATACTTTTCAACCTTTTCATTTCAATAAATCGTATTTTATCTCCCTAAAGAGGTGGCACAAAAAGCTCAGAATAGTGAGACACAAAGCAGTGCAAGAAATGAGGTCACTGCCCATTTGGTATAGCCTGGTCTAGCCGGTATACATGCCAGTAGCGTGGCGCTGCCCTGTAAGACTCTGTAACGCTACCCTGCTTCATGGCAAGCCTGAGGGCGACATGGCATGTTGGCACCTCCTTAAAGCCCCATGCCACGTGTGGAACTCCTGCTTGCTCAGGGCACACACACACACAGGGGTCCACACACACACACACACACACACACACACACACACACACACACACACACACACACACACACACACACACAGGGGTACACACACTTGGGAGGGAGGGGAACAATAAGAACCATTTACCCAAATCTACCTCTCTCTCCCAAACCCTCTCTCACACACACACACACACACTCTCTTTCTCTCTCTCTCACACTCACACACATCTGGCCTCGCCTCGCTGTGCTGTGGTGGCTGCTCACCCTGTGGTAAGTGCCTCAAAGATGTGAGGGATAGAGGGAAGTTGAGCCGAGGTAGTTTAGAAGTATTTAATCCATCTCCCCCTCCCTCTGCACCCCCCACCAGAAAGAATGGCTCTCCTTGTTGTTGGAGTTATATTAGATCTGCCACCCAATACACACACTCTCTCTCACACACACACACACACACACACACACACACACACACACACACACACACACACACACACACACACACACACACACACACACACACATACACATAGTGCCCTGACCATCACCTGGCTTAATGCAATGCAGCGTTCCATTTAGAGACCGTTTTACATAACAGGACTAGCCTATAACCCGTGGTTCCCCTGGATTACAGGACAGAATACTCAGACTAACAGACTGAGCAAGTCTACTCTGTCATTTAATCCCTGACCTGTAACCATAGCGATGCTTATTTATACGCTACCAGTATTTTAACTCTCCTTTTGGACTTGTTGGATCATGACTGCAGTCAGAGCACAGCAAGTGTACTGCGTTTGGTGTAAAAATACCCTACTTTTTCACATGGTAGTGTAGGACTGTTGCAGACCACAGTATCTGACTAGATATGACATTCTGTACAATTAGTTGCCCCTTGGTGACATTTTGTCACTATAAATATACAGAAATGTTACCAAATACTGAAAGTGACACCATTCAAAAAGTGTTTGGGAAACTGTCAAAAGCAATCGCCAATTGCATCACATGCGTCACTTACTGCCTTCTCATGGCTCATGCAGAAACAGAGGTTATCATGAAATTAATGCTGCTACAGATATTGCGTGATATGATCAGTTTTGATAACGTCTCCACATTTTTCCACTGTCAAAAGTTAGGCTAGTTTCTCTAATTTAGTGCATGCATTCACATGTAGAATCAGGATTTGACTGTACTTTGTTTTCTATTTCTAATGCCATCATTTATATGTCTATAGGCATAATTTCAATGTCTATAGACATAATTTCTATGTCTATAGCATCATTTCTATAGCCATAAGTCCTATGTCTATAGCCATCATTTATATGTCTATAGCCATCATTTATATGTCTATAGCCATCATTTCTATGTCTATAGCCATCATTTATATGTCTATAGCCATCATTTATATGTCTATAGCCATCATTTATATGTCTATAGCCATCATTTCTATGTCTATAGCCATCATTTCTATGTCTATAGCCATCATTTATATGTCTATAGCCATCATTTATATGTCTATAGCCATCATTTATATGTCTATAGCCATCATTTATATGTCTATAGCCATGTGAGTGAAGTCTGGTCCTGGAGGTCCCTAGGGACCAGATCCAGTTGTTATTGCTGGCTCAGAAAGGGTTCAAGTCAAGAGAAGAGAGATGGAGATTAGACTATGTTTGTAATCCTCTGTCTAGTTCTCCACATTTATATCCCGCTGTAATCTATTGTAATGTATTCTCCTCTACGTGCCAGGCCTGTACACCACGCTCAACGGCCCACCACAGATTATACACAGCCTATATTGGGTAAGATGTGAGCTCTGTTATGGATTTAACTCTAATCTAGATATAGAACTGATTACTATTGTCAGTGTTGCAGTTCTCTTAAAACAATGAATGTCCTAATTGTGTCTATGGCAGAATTGCCCTGGAAGTTCCACTGTTTTATAAATATAAAATACAATATAGAACTACATTATATAGCCGCTATATATTTCTAATGTAGCAGAACCTAACCCAGCTCAACCTCTTCCTGTTTTATTCATGTGTTGTTTCCTGTTAGGGCCAGTACATCTGTTCTATTGCCAGGTACAAATGATACTGGATATTGCTTTCCATAACTCAGTAGCTAGCTAGTAGTTTCAGCACTCTACTCAACCAGTGATCTCACGGTACATATACGTTTGTTACAGTCTTGTATGAAACCATGTCAAGGATATTTC